TGGTGTTCTCAAAATTATCAGATAAATAGTCAATAGAGAATATTTAGATTATATGTGACTTTTATTCAATAGTTAATTAAAACTTAAAAGTGTTCAACTTGATTTTAAACTTTATTTACTAAACTGAAGATCAAGATAAATAATCAATAGAGAATATTTAGATTAAATGTGACTTTTATTCAATAGTTAATTAAAATTTAAAAGTGCTCAACTTGATTTTAAACTTTATTTACTAAACTGAACTTTAAAATTTATTAGAAAAAGTTTTATCAGTAAAATCTTTTCCTAAGTATATATTTCTAGCAAAGTATAGTAAGTATATATGTTGAGAACATAATAATCTTGTTCAATGATGTCTCCTATCAATTCATTTCGGTCTTTCATCTTACTTACATTATTATCGGGAAAAAAATAAACTAGTTATCGCTCGTAATTAAAGTTCATAAAAATTTAGACTTGACCAATTGGTAGTCTGGTAGAGGAGTTTCGAAAATAGTTATGAAACTCTTAAAGTATAAAATACTATATTAAAATAAAAAAAATGTTTAAATTATAAAAATGTAGTAATTACCTTAAGAAAAAATTTACTTTTTGAAAATTAAACTAACTTATGTTGTCTTAAAAATATATTAAAAAAATACTGAAATTGAATGAAAAACACTTCATTTCAAATCATTGCATTGAGGATCAATACCATTCCCACACTCCAAACGACAATGTTAGGTTCATGTAAAATAGGTAAGGATTTGCATTTCTCTTTGTACGACCGATGGTATAATATTCCTAAAAAAGTATGTGAAAACAATATCGCCATAATTTAATGGGCACTTTGGAATCAAACTAAGCTAAGAAATGTTATGGTGATATGGTCCATCAACCAACTGGATATAGAACATATCTATTTGAGAATGTTTATGTTGATAATATATATTTTCAAACATTATTAACTATTAAATAAATTTTCATGTTGTTATTATTCCTAAAGAGCACCTCTAATGCCATGCTTAATTGAGTGAAAAGAAAATATGAAAGAAAAATATGGGTAACAATAAGTTTTTTTTTATTGGTTAGAAATTTTTTCTTTCTTTCTTTCTAGTTTTTAATATTCTTTCAATTCAATTTTTTTTCTTATTCCAAATGGAGCATAGTTACTATTTAATAGTAATGAAATTGATTTAATGAATTTCACAAGATTTGAAGATGTTTGAACTTTGAATAATCCGATTCCAAATAGTACAAAAAACATCAATGATGGGATGGGGATGTCATGTTTATCATCTCAGGAATTCCATCATGAGTCAGAGTGGACCCTAGAATCCACTCACCACATATCTCCATTATTATTATTATTTTATTATTATTATTATTATTATTATTATTATTTATTATTATTATTATTATTATACATCACATATCACACTACGCATATTCTTCCCCCCACTTTCCCTTTCTTCCTAAACGTTATGTTCGGTATCCGTACTTCTCATGTTTTCATCTTTATTTTTGTTTTTAGGTATCGTATATTTGTACTCGTACTCATATTTATTATTTTTTTTATTTTTTTTATTTTTATAAAAGAAATATAATATTTTTAAATTATTTTTTATTATATTATAATTATAATTAAATTCTTTATTTATCTCATATTATAATAAATAATCATATATAAAAAATATTTTTTTTTTAATATAATTAAATTAAAATTTAGTATTAAATTAAAAATGATAACGATGATAGATATAGGTACAGGTACGATGCGGATAAATACATACATGTACCTATATTTAATTTAATATATCGAGTTTTACCTGTATTCATATTTAGTCAAACTAAGTATTTCCAGGTGAAACAAATTCAAATATTACTCACGAGCACATGTATATTTATTATCCTTACTAAATGCTCATGAACTCATCACGAGGATTAATAAGGATTCTTTAAATCAATCACCCTCACGAGGATTAATAAGGATTCTTTAAATCAATCACATATGTTACATTTAAATTATGAGACTGAGGCGTTTTTAAACATACATTTTTTTTATTAGTTAAATTTGATTAACAATCATAAAATTTTGTATTTTCTTTGCATGAAAGATATTTTTATTATATATATATTTATTTATAATTATGTTATTAATTTAAAGTAAAATTTGAGATGATGCTATTAATAACTAATTTCTATCATAAAATACAGTGACAATTCCAATAATGTTTCCTTTCCATCCACAACCACATATTTTTTAATTTACAAAGTTTCAAATTTGAGATGTAAAAATCAAACCCAAACCCCCCTTCAAATGTCGATAAACTAAGTTATTTATCAATTATATATTTTAGAGCTTATTTTCATACTCACAATATTTAATAAATTTCATAAAAATTTAATACATCATTTAATTCATAAAGTTTTTTTTTTTAATTTTCATTTACATTTTTAAACCAAACCTTAAACTAAATTATTGATAATTAGATATTTATTTTTAAATATTTATTTTTTATTATTAAAGAGTATTTTTATCAAATATAAGAAAAAAATTTATTGAGATTTGACTGACAATAAATAGATGAATATTAATGCCTCCTCTTACCTTGAGTGGTTTTGCAATAAAGAATCACAAGTTGCACTTCAATCACAAATAAGTCACTTAAGTCATATAATCTTTTTATTCACATTTGAGCCATATAATTATAATTTCATTTATAATACATGAAATTTTATAAATATTTTTAAAGTCCACATATCTAAAGAATCATATGAAATTATTATTTTATATAAGACATTAAAAATATTTTACAAAATATTATGAATAATAAAAAAATTTCTAATCCTTAAGACTGAATTATAAAACTTTATTTTATTTTTAATTTTATAAGCATAAATTAATTTCTAATTATCAATTTTGAGATATGTATAAATTTTATATATATAAAAAAATACAAAATTTTAAAATTAAGAAATTAATTATAATTTTTGAATTTTATAAAATCATTGAAAAATCTTTAACGTAGTGCTTGTTTCGGGTGATTTACTGTTTACGAGCAACGAAAGGCGATGAAAGTTGGCGTTTGTTTCCACCGATTTGCGACGATGGAAAGGCGAAGAAAAGCGAGGAGAAGCACTGTTGCTCTCCTCGCACGAGAGGGAAGAAAAGAGGTGAAAGACACGTAGGATTTGTGAAAATCCGAAAATGCCCCTCTCATGCATGTGCCATGCAGCAGAGGATTCACGTTCAACGAAGGATCATAATCGATTACGTGGCAACCATAATCGATTATGCAGGTATTTTCGCTGCTAGTGGAAATCGGAACGGCCCGTTCCAAAAATGCATGTTATGAGAAAAATAAGAAAGCAGAACGGGTCGTTCTACTTTTGGAACGGGCCGTTCCACTTCTGGAACGAGTCGTTCCACTTTTGGCCTTTGCGTAGTACTTTATAACCCCAGAACGGCCGTTCCACTTTCGGAACGGGCCGTTCTGGGCACATTAATTTGTTTTTAATACGTGTATATATATATATATATA